CATACATACATACATACATACATACATACATACATACATACATACATACATACATGCATGCATGCATGCACACACAAACAAATAAACACAAACACGCACACAATTAGAGATGCCTTCCCCACCACCTCCTTCCCCTCTATTCTCTACCAGCACGGGAAGGAAAACGGCCTTCACCTTGGCTATCCTGCTCCACGTCATCACAGCTGTAGCCACGGCCTTTGCCCCCGGTTTCGCCGCCTTCGTCACCCTGAGATTCTTCACAGGCGTCGGCAATGTCGGAATCTTTACCTGTTGCTTCGTCATGGGTCAGTCCCAAGCTCTCCATCATCATCATCATCATCATCATCTTCATCATCATCATCATCATCATCATCATCATCATCATCATCATCATCATCATCATCATCATCGTCGTCGTCGTCGTCGTAAACTGCAAATAAGATTTTTTTTAAACAAAATCAATTTTTAAAAAATTTTAAAGAACGGAAGAGACTTTAAAGATATTTTCAAAAAATTGTATACGTTCAATGTTTCGCCGTCTTATGGTTTCGTCAAGAACATTTTGTGGCAAAGCCGTTTTAATTCGAATTTTGGCGTACAAAGTGTCGATAACCGCATTTAAGCCGTATTTATCCCAGCAGAAGGCTGGTGACACGAGCTAGTAGAACGAGGGTCAGCTATATAAAATAATAACGTACACTGCGCACTGCGGCGATAACACATAGTGTAAATATCCCTAACTACCTTATCAAATCGACGTGGAAACGTCACCAGTTTATGTGTATTCAATAAATACAACATGACCTGAATAATACGTGTGCTAGTCAGGAATTATCGAACTAAAAAAAAAAGAAATACATTTTAATGATGCCACTCCCCCCTCCCCCCGTCTGTCCTCCTATTCTTCCACATCACTCCTACTTTTTTAAAGTCTATTTTTATACCTTTTTCACCCACAGGACGATAGCGGTTAGTGTAGTCAGTAAACAGAGAGCCGTTTGTGGTAGTTAAAACAAAAAATCAGTAGCTTGTGTTTTGATTCACAAATATGAACCGACTAATGCAGGAGTCAGATTTCCGATATGACCTTATTGCCATAATATCAAATGTCATGTCACAATAACAAACTGGCTGTGTCACCTGCATACATTATACTGCTCTGTACTATGATACTGCTTTTATAAAGACTCTATAACGCACCAATGCTACTCATCTTCACGTAAATAAAAGATATATAGTAAAATGGGGGAATTCCACACCATACATTTCATTGGATTGTGAGAATAGAGTAATAGAAACCACTTTATGAAGAACGAGGACACATCCTCCACAACATTTTTACTTGTCCATTTTATCTCCCTGGTCTTCGTCTTTTGTCTTTTACCATAATCTAGATTATTCCGTCTTCGATATCCTTCGCATTTTTATCATGCTCAGTGTATTCAGAAGTTGAACCCC